TTTTTCCGCAAAGGACTGCTTTTTGACCATAGTGCGCCGTTGTGGTAAACTTATTCGCAAGTTGTGTAAAAATGTGTTTATTAAGTTACTTAAGACTTAGGACCCATATTATAGTGACAAACGTATTACAATTTGTTATTATCCGTATTTTAAACAAAATTTGCAAAGAAGATTTTGGCAACAAATTTCTTTGCGTGTAAAATCGATAAAAACAATCAATGAACATTTAGTTGTTGATTGACTACAGAATAACTTTTATGTGATAAGAGACGATAACAAAAATATGACATAAGTACATCATAAAAGTTATACGATTGTATCACGTAAGGCATTTAAAATGTTTAAGATGTATGACCTATCACTTAGTCTCGACTCTACGTAGATATTTGCACGCCAACCAATCAAATTAATTCTGAATACGTGCCCAGGTTGGCCTTGACGGACAAATGAAGAACGTGAAGACGCTTGGAAAATGTCAGACGTTTTTGGAGTGCACGGTGTGCCACAAGGATCGCTTCGAACGCTGCCGAATCAATCAATGAAATAATTATTGTGGGGTACCGCAAGGGTAACAGTTTGGACCACTTAATTGTTTAAAATGCATAATTGATGTTATCTGTATAGAAACACGTACCAAACAAGTTATCTACGAAAGATAATAAAAATATACTAATTAATCACTTACAAGTCATAACTGATGATTGATTATGCACGAAAAATAACACACCCCGAATAATTAGTAATTTTGCATAACCTTAAATAGAAATGTTCAGTCAATCCCAAACTTACCGATCATAAAAATTAATAATGTTTACACCTACTTCGAAAAATGGAAAAGGTCAAAATAATTTAATTTTAGATGCCTATGCACAATGAAACATGTATACTATAAATTGTTAAAGCTATTTGTATGTTGACAATTGAAATTGTGAAAACAAGGCTTTTTGCAACAATAGCCTAATGGCAAGTTTACATTAACGTTTTTTAATTATAAAATAAAAAAGTAATTATAATGAAAAAACGCTCAATAGGTGTTTACAGAGTTAAACTAGTTGAAGGCCTTCACCAATACACACATTTTTTATAGTAACATTATTATTTAGGAAACTTTAGCTTTAGGTTTATAAACCTTAGTAAAAAGTGCTTCCCACGTCTGTTTGCAACTTTCTGACTGCCTTTCCTTTTTCTAAATGCTGAAATGAAACTATTTGGACAAAATCTAATCCATGAGGAAGTAAAAAACTTGAAATTGGCCTTTAAAAGACTGTAACTCAAATTCTAAACTCAAAATCTTAAAGTAACGTAACTACTGGCAATGATTGTAAAACAGCATTATACCACGTAAAATATTAAATTATGATAATTCAGTGTAGTAACCATATTGTGTTGTATTGAAAACGAAATTGTTATTTTACGGTCTATTAAAGAATTTAAGGTAAAATTAAACTACTTAAATACCGTTACAGTGAATGCATTAACTCGATTTTAGATTTCATTCGAAATAAAATTAAGAATTTCTTAACTATTTAGAATTTTAAAACAATGTAACGAAACAACTGCAATAGTGGCGGATCGTCAGGGTAGGCCTCCACATGACTAAAGATGTGGTGTGATTTTATTTAGGGGATGGGTATACGAGGTGTTTTTTGAAACAAATATTTATTTATTCGTCTACATTAATGTTGTCGCCTTCAAAATAGTCCCCATTGGATATTATACACATGTGCCAGCTCTTCTTCCAATACTCGAAACACTTCTAAAACTCGATCTTTGGGATAGCCTTTTGTTCTTTCAGCGATGCGCTTTTAATGTCATCTAACTTGCAAAACGACGGCCCTTTAAGGTTCTCTTTATTTTTGGGAATAGGAAAAAGTCAGACAGAGGCATGTCTGGCGAATATGGAGGCTGGGGCATCATTACAGTATTGTTTTTGGCCAAAAATTTTGTTCAAAATTTAACAATTTTAGAACAAATTTTGCTGTCACGCGTTTCATACCCAAAACATTCGAAAAAATTTCATGGGATGAGCCAATCGATATACCAACATCATCAGCGACTTCTCTGATGGTTTATAACCATTTCTTCCTGTTTTTTCATGTCTTCACGGCCATCTTGGAAACTCTTATACCACTTGTAAACTCTTGTTTTACTTATAGCAGACTCACTATGGGCCTTTGTTAACATTTCACAGAATTTATTTAATTAATACGCAAAATTGGATACAAATTCTTTGATCCATTTCTTTTAACGAACGAAAAATCGCCGAGCTAAAGTTTTTATCATACTTCGGGGGCATGTATACCAACATAATAAAGACAATTTTATGACAACCGGACCCTCCAAACCCGCGAAATTTAACAATTCCCTTTATTTTCTGAACACACCTCGTATATTTGTATCCATACATATAAATATATTTTTAGGTTTTTTTAAGTTTTAAAAAACGAATTATTTATAATGATTTAGTAGGGCTATCGGCCATTTTACCTCCCAGGTGACGTGGAAATTTTTTCGTATTTAGACAAAATTAACCTCATGTAGCCTCACCCACGAGCCGCCACTGAATCGCCAATCAGTTTTGACCTAAATCATCGAAAATGATCAATGATAAGAAAAATGTGTAATTTTCGCATTTCCCATTTGCAAATACCGAACGCAGAAATATTAAAGCAGATTTCTCTGTGCTGGCGCAAGCTCGAGCTATTATGCTTATTGCATTTATTACCATATAGGTACGATAAATATTTTCTCTAGAAACTATTATCGTTGCGTCATTTTCAATAAAAAATTACTTATTACATATTACGAACATTGCAAGCACCAGCTACGTACGATATTAACTATGCTTAAAAATCGCGCGTTCAAATATGGTAACACAACGTTTTTTATTATTTTGCTTTACTATGCTTTACACGCGCCGCACAATGGGTGGGATGGCAAAAATGCATTAAAAGAAAAACTAATAAAGATATCATTATGAAATTTTAACACCATATATTTGGGGTATAAATCTTCATCCTTTACAAATGTTACATCAATTAGTTCAGTGGCGGCGATTTTATAAGGGTTTAAATGTTGTTAACACAAGTTAAAAATTTAGTTATTTCAAAATCTATTAAAAATAGCATATTAAAATTTTAAGACTAGTTTTATATATAAATAATCTTGATGCTGTACAAATTTTAATTTAATTGAATAAGTAGCGGAGTTTTTATAAGGGTTAAAATGATAAAAGTAAGTTAAAAATTAAATTATTTTTAAAACTATTCAAAATATCATTACAATACAATTTTATTTTTATACAATTCTATATATTTTAATTTAATTTGATCAGCAGTGTCAATTTTATACTGGTTTAAAATGTAAATATAATAATCTAGCAAAAGTACGTAATAATAATTTAATAACATGGGATCTATAGATAACTTATAAGTTATTTATTATTAAAATAATTTAATATTATTGTTAATATTAAATAAATCATATAATTATAATATATAAAATTGGAATATCCTATTGATAAATGAAATAATACACATTTATTTCAATAAATTAACAAATACATATATATATATATATATATATATATATATATATAATGATTATAAGAGAATATATATATATATATAATATTCTCAATGATTATTTTGTCTGTAGTACCTAACTAACAATTCTGTATATGTAGAATTTAAATCCGTTTTTTTTCCTTTTTAAAATTCTTTTTTATATATAAATAGATCAAACATTTTATTATAACCCTATTTTTGAGACATTATCCTCCATAAGTATTGTTACCTATATTTATTACAATAATTATTATTGTATACCTACCTATAGGTACATTTATATAAATAGAAAGTTATTCCAAAATTGACTATTTTTTACTGATATCACATAAATAAAATTATTGATAATTTAATTCTAAATGTAATTATTCATATAATTATAATAATAGGAAATAAACACAAGATTTTGGCCTAAAAAACGCAAATAATTATAATTATTTTTTATTCTATTTTTAACTATAAAATTTTAAATAGACAAACAGGTTGGCTTTAATTAAAAAAAATATATTAAAAAATCGCCTTTAGTTTTAAAATTAAAGACATTTAAATTTGAATTATGTTAAAGAAAAATTGGCAACTTTGCTTAATTGTAAACTTGGTTCACTTCAACGTTCTAACACTTTTTTAAATTTTATAAATAAAACTTGAAATTATAATGTTTTTTCTATAATAAAATCAATTTATGGGGCACCGCAAAACAGAACTATGATAGGATTTTTGTTTTCAAGTGATATCACTTCCTTTGTTCCACAATTTTTCCATGGCAAGAAAAAACAAAGAAAAACGTGTTACGCCAAAAAACTTTTTTCCAGAGCCCCGATGGACTTCGACCGACCGAGAGATAGCAAAAACAAAACAAAACGACATTTAAACATCCTGCCTTTGAAAAGCATAGAATAAATAAACGCAAGTTTGTAGAAAGAGAGAGGAAGAAGCACTCACATGATTCAGCCGCTGTGCAATACTGGGAAAACGTTGAACAATGATCATATAGTAACAGGCGATAGTAAAGCCTGAAATTTACTACGAGCGGAGCAACATTCCTGCAACTCAATCGTTAACAGAGAGCCGAGCTACTGTACAACGGACCAGTCAAACAGCTTTCCGAATCAACACTGAACCCTGTTAGTTGGCGTTGAAAGTTCGACGCGTCGACTGCACCTCGCCTCGAAATAGAACTCATGCAAATTCATTTAATTTTTTAGCTTGACGATAACCGAACGGTGTGCAGCCATTCATTTATTCGAGCGATTATGAGTCCATGGTTTCGGGAAGATTATTCGTATCGCATCACTTGTTTATGAGCTGGAGCGAGAGGTTGCATGGCAACAGAGATTTTCGTGTTGTTTTCGGTCGTAGAAACCAGATTTCAACGACCACATTCCGCGGTATCCATATTTGCAGGATGCTTCCTGATACAACAGGTGGACTTACCTTTTTCAATGGAGCAGTAGCAGGAGGGGCGAACTCCATGTGCGGCGGGAAAATCCTAATCAAAAACACCACCACATGGATATCCGACAACGGAAAAACGCACTGAGTAGACTTGAGACCAGCTGATTCGTCCGCAGATTTATCTTCGGACGGAGCGTAGCAGGAGTGTGTCTTGCTGCGGGTCGCGAACGAGACTGAAACGCGAACTGAGTCGACTATTTGCGGTCTCGCTTTTGGTTCCTCTTTCCACTTGTTGAGCGCGCGATAGCGCCCACTCCCTCCTGTCTACTACCGGCTACACACAAATTGAAAATCTTTTGTTCCCTGTTTCGTGTGACTAGGCCATGCAGTTGCGCTGCCAGTGGAGCGAGCGATTGTAAACACCTGAAATTGCTGCAAATACTATCTTTGGTGTTAGCTTTGGGCCCTAAGTGGGCTTTCAGAGTCTGTACACTTACTGGATGGAGCAGAGATTTTTTTGGTAAACTAATACAAAATGTCCAAGAGTATTTAATATTGTATTTAAAAATCAATTAATCATACTAAGCATTAAGCCTGATTTATAGATTGCCTTCCTTCCTTCCTCCCGTAGAAGATGAACAAAACAAAAACCATTGTGCTGTTTAAAGATTCCCGTACGGGAATCTATAAATGATGATAAACGATTTTCGTATCGTTCATCTTCTACGGAAGGAAGGAAGGAAGGAAGGAAGGAAGGAAGGAAGGAAGAGATGCCGTACTAGCCGAAACATTTTGGTAAAGTAAATATATTTTCATTACGATCAGGAAGAAAATCAAGAACAATAAAATAAGGGAGAAGAAGTGGAAGGGATGGAATTATCAAGTGATGAATCAAAAAATTAAAATGAAGTACACTGTTTAAAATATCTGTGGTGTGAAGAGTAATCTTAAAATGGTGTCAAAATCCAACACCAAGTGGTGTTAATATAACACCATGAATTATGGTTGAAAATGTTTTATACAGCAAACACCAAAACGGTGTTGATCTAAAAATATTTGAGAAGTGCACCTATACAGAATAAAAGGAATAGTTCATTTAACTATATTAATTTAATTTACCCATAAGTATTTATTTAAATCAACTGTGGGAAGGTTAAATTGGTTAAATTAACCCAGAAAACTTTAGTGAAACCAACCCGCTGTATGGTTCAGTTTACTAAATATGTTGTTTGTAAAATAAGAGTTACTTCAACCTAAAGCACTCTGTTAAAACGATTAAAACAATTTGCCGTGCATTCCTTGTTGCATAGTGTGTACCGATCGCGACAAAGGCGGTGTGGATCACGTGATGTTCTTAAATCTCGCCTCTGTTGACTTACATGAAGAGTATATAAGCTCAGGTAGTCCTTTGCTTTGGTGTGACACTACAAGTTGTTCGATACTAAAGAGACCTTAAATAGGTGGAAACAGCTGTCAATATTTGAAGTATTTTAAGTTGGTGGAAAGCACTAAAAACATTATCTCTTGAAGGTTCAAATTTCTGGAATAATACCACTAATACTTGTAATGCGTCAAGGAACTTCCTGTTTCCTTTTTTTCCTTTTTTTCTGTGTAGTATGATTTAATTTGACCAAAAACACATTATATTTAACACTGAAAAGGAGTTCAATTTACAGCAGGTAAAATTTATTTTAATACTGTGTGAAAGTTAAATTTACACCATTTTAGTATTTGAATTTACACTGGACAAACGAACCATATTTAACACCATTTTGTATCGATATAGAACATGTATGGTGTTAATTTGGTGTTAAAATGGTCATGAAATTTTGAACAGTGTACAAGGAAATAAAGGAAGGGAATAAGTGGAAGGGATGAAATTATCCAGAAATGAATCAGATTACTCAATGTTTTGATATGAAAAAAATTTTTAATAATAAAATGAATACAAAATAAAAAATCAAACTCTGTACTTTTCTACAATTCTATTTTATCAATTTTTTCCTACAGATTTTCCAAAGATTTTGGCACTGTTGAGTGTAAAAAGATGAATATTTTGGAAAATCTTGTTCAAACATTGTTTTTCAGCAAATAAACAAACTTAAAGTTTAGTTTATTGTACGTATTTTATAAATTACTTCTTCTAGTACATTTTAAATATTATCGAAAAATTAAAAAAAATATTTTTTTTAATATTTGGTCCCAAAATTTGGGTTTTGGGATATAGGCTGTTCACAAAATGGGTTTATTTGTACAGTAACTACATTTCTATACAAAAAATCTTGACGATATAAATCGAATATATGCGAAAAAAATCGATTGATAAGTCTAAATTGGGGTATATGAAGCTCGAAAATTCAAACGGCTATAAAAAAAGCTAATCTAGCTAACTTTTACAAACCAAACTATACTTATAGCATAGTTTAAAAACACTTATCTATTCTCGTAAACTGGTAGTGAATGATTTACTATCTAAATTCAATAGTAAAGTCATTATTAGCGATAAAACCATGTTTTAAAAATATCCACAATTAAAACTACATTAACTAACTTACCTACTAGGTGTTTATTAATTAACCTTCAAGGCGAAATCATTTTCCAAGTAATTCATTCGATATAGAATGAAAAAATTGCATCAATTCATTGAGTTGCACAACACTTTTTCCACTACTATCTTATCTTATCGGTTACCATATAGTGGAGTAGGTAGAGTAAAATGAACTATTGATTTTTGGATCGTATCATTAAGTTTTAATTTTTACAATGATGGTCCTCAATCTGAACCTTGTGGCACAATCTGAAATTGTAAAGTTGAGTAGTGCGTATCAAGGCACACTTTAGCTTTATATTAACACATTTATGGTTAAAATTATCAACTGTGGTGTCAGTTAACTCATGTATCTCAAAAACCCTTTTACTACTATCACCTTTATGTTTAAATGATTTATAATGTAACCGATAACTTCATGAGTAACGCAAGTCGTGTGTACGGTAATTTTAATAATTTTGCGTTCGAAGGTTAGTCATAATACAATATAAGAGCTGCTGAGGCAGGATTCAGTTTTGTCGCAATTAGTCTCGACCTGCAGTGTTATTGAACAACTAAAAAATGCGGTTAGGCATTGTTTCATCACTTCATTCTCGTCATAAGATCGCAATTCATAAGCAAGATAACTTTTTCACGTTCCATCTAGCAGAAACGCGATTGTCGATAATAAAAGCCATTGTGAGAATAAAGACAGTACACACCCTGAAAAGGGCATGTCTTACGGGTGTTTCTTTGAGCCACGCAAAATTGTTGTTGTACTGTTTGCTTGTGCTTTGTTGTGTGTGTGCACTCCATGGCTTGCTTTACAAAGAGAATTGCTGCTTAATGATCTGGCAATAATAATTTGCAATTATTTTGATTTGTTTGGTTATGGCGATTAATAAATGGGGTTTCGCTAGGTGTAAGGAAAGTAAAAGAAGAAAAAAAATTTCCAACAACAATACATACCTACTTAGTATTTAAATAATTATTGACTTCATACTTCGTGTGTTGTCGTTAGTTTATAATTCAAACAATATTGGGCCACAACATCAACCCTGGGGAACCTCCATATGATAGAAACTTTGGTGTAACACATGATCTTTTCATTGAAAACGTTTTTTTCATGGCAGCAAATGTTTAGAGTAGATATTTATATCTAAATGCGATTCATTGTCAAGGTTTATTTGCAAAATTCGTGTGAGTAAGCGAGCTATAAATTAGTCAACGATTTAATGTCTTGAATAAATTGAAGTTTAGTTACTATGCATATGGCATGCCATAATCAAAAGTATATAGTTACAAATATACTTTGTAAAAAATTTTTCTGCATGTAATTTTTTTAAAGATTCATGAAAATAAAATAAGTTCTATAACACCAACTGTACCATATTATATAATATATGCAAAAATTAATACTTAGTTATTAATTAGTCACGTAACAGTAGTTACTGTAGATGGTCTTTCAGAAATTAACACAGGGTTAAATAGTAAAAAAATATTTGTTAATTTTAACCAGATTTTATGTTAATCCAGATCCACATATCTTTGTTAATCCTATATCAATAATTCAACCATAATTCTTGTAATTTTCAAAAAGTACCTTATTAATTAATTATATTTTACAATGTTTTAAAAGTTTAAAACCTATCCTCCGTGACTTACTCTTTCTAGGTTAACATATATGTTTAACCTTTGAATTTAACAAAATGCTTACAAAATTGCATATTACCTTAACAAAACTTTCGGTAAAATATGTTCCTTTGTTAAAATAATTACAAACCCTGGTTTTCTACAAAAAATTATGTTTAAATTTTACAAAATAAAATTAACAAACTACAAACTCATGTTAACATATCTAATTTTCATAACGTTTTCATAACATTTTGCTTAATTAACTTGTTTTTGTGATATTTTGTTAAAAAATGTTAAAGTACAAATCATGAAATTAATTAAAGTGATCTTTATGTGTGCAAGTCTAAAATCTAATAATAGACATGGTTGCCAATACAAACGCTCAGTATGATATAAATAAACAGGTTATTTTGCTACCTTCAAGTTGGTATTAAACGTAAACAGTTGCTTTGGTAGGTTTTCCTGCATTTAAATTAGATTCATTGCTGACCATTTTTGGATTTTCAGACGAGTTGCAACTGTCATGACAGATTTTGTCGTAAATTTTGCGAAAAGTAAACATCTCTATCAATCGGCAATCAGTAAACTTTGTAATTACTCATCTGGTGAGTTGTAAATATTTTAACAAGCGCCAGATGTTAAGATTGCACCAAATCACAAGGATGTATTACGAATTACCCAAACATTACGTTATTAAAGCATTTGTTTTTTTTTAATGTTCAGACTGGAACCGCATTTTTGAACGTTTTTATTTTGTTTGTTTCCAGTGCAGTGCTGTAGTTCAGATTTGCTCATTTAATGTATCTTTAAATTAAAATAAACAAACTATTTGCTCTTAATGAAGAAACTATTTATTCCAAAATGGATTCTTTTAAAATCAACTTGCTGTCGAGAGTATTATAAAACCAGTATAAACTGGTTATATTTTTTAAATAATAAAAGTAGAAGAGTTATGTAGAAGTACTTTATTATATTTTGTCAGAAAAGTGACACCCGTTGTTAAATTTTTTACCATAATAGTTTGCATTTTATATTTTTTCTGATCTGATATATATAGCGTTATGTTTAAAATATAA